CTGAGGTTGGCAAATGTTTCAGCGAGGTCAATCAACAGGTCGGAACCTTTCCGTGACTTGACCACAATGTCATCCATGTACGCTTCCACATTCCGACTGATTTGAGTGAGCAAACACTTCTGAATCATCCTCATGAATGTGGCTCCGGCATTCTTGAGGCCGAATGGCATGGTGACATAACAGAAGCACCCGAATGGGGTGATGAAAGCCGTTTTGATCGCATCGGGCCCAAACAGACGGATCTGATGGTACCCGGAATAAGCGTCCAAGAAAGACAGTCGCTCACATTCCGCAGTCGAGTCGACTATTTGGTCGATGCGGGGAAGAGGAAAATGATCTTTTGGGCAGGCCCGATTGATATGCTTAAAATCGATGCACATGCGAAGCGAATTGTCCTTTTTGGGGACCACGACATTGGCGAGCCACTCGGAGTGGTAAATCTCTCGGATAAACTCTGCTGCTAGGAGTCGAGCCACTTCCTCGCCAATGGCCTTCCTTTTCTGGATGGCGGACTGTCGCAGATGTTCCTTCACAGGTTTTGCCTTTGAATCGACTCATAGATGATGCTCAGCCAGTCCCCTGGGTACACCCGGCATGTCAGAAGGTTTCCATGCAAAGATGTGCGCTTCTTCCTATTTGGGGTCGAGTGTTGTGGAGATATGAGTCGGGGCAGCATTAGGGTCGGTCGGGTGGATGTGAACGGGTTTTGTCTCATCGGACGACTGGAACGCTGATTTCGTAGCAGGCTTTTTGGCTCGCAACAAATCACTCGGGTCTGCATTCCTTTGGTGTTCCTGCCACTCTTCTGCTACCATCTGAGCATCGGCGATCTTTGAGCCTTTCTGGAAGCACTCTTCTGCCTTCTTGCGATTACCAGTGACAGTAATCACGCCTTTAGGGCCAGGCATCTTTAGTTTGAGGTACACGTAACATGGTCGAGCCATAAAACGTGCATAAGCTGGCCTGCCCAAAATTGCATGATAGGCACTCTGGAAATCCACAACCTCAAATGTCAGCTTCTCCTTGCGGAAATTCTTTGAATCACCAAAAACTACATCAAGGGCAATCTGGCCGAGTGATGTGGCCTTCTTGCCAGGGATGACTCCATAAAAACTCATGTTGCTTGTGCTCAGTCTGGACATCGGAATGCCCATCCTTTCAGCGTCTCAGCATACAGTATATTCAAACTGCTGCCGCCATCCATCAACACTTTGGTCAGTCGAGTGCCCTCGACGACTGGGTCGACCACCAACGCTTGCCTCCCAGGGGTGGCTATGTGCGTGGGGTGATCAGATTGGTCGAACATAATGGCAGTCTGAGACCACTTCAGGTAATTGGGTGTTGACGGAGCAGCCATATTCACCTCCCGGTTTATAACTTTTAGTCGGTTTTTGCTCTCAACATCGGCAAAAATCATCAAGGTGGAATTGACCTGCGGATATTCCTCGTCACTATCCTCCTTGTCCTCAACCTTGTCCGACTCTTTTTCTTTGTCCTTGGGCTGCTTCCCTTGAAACTGCTGTATCAGGAGTCGACACTGTCGAGTGGTATGCTTCGGGTAAATAAAATTACCCTCTTCGTCTTTCTTGGTGTGGATGTGACATGGTAAATCCAACACGTCATTTCCTTATTTATATTTTACTTTCTTGGGGTTCCAAGGCCCCTTGGGTTTCCCTTTGAACTTTCCTTGGTTCAGGGCCAAGGCTTCTCCAGGTGCGGCTGGCTCAGCTTTACGCTTTTGCTTCCGACTGGAATTTCCGCCTCCGGTGTCCTGGGCGACTGACTTGTGCTTGCCGCTCCGGAGCCGATCCTCTTCCTCACCATTGGCATATTTGGTGGCTATCTCCATCATTCGACTCAGAGACATGTCTCCGGTTCGGCCGAATTTCAGGCTTAGCTCTCTGTACTTTACGCCCTCCTTGAAGGCGCAAACTGTCTGGTGATCAGATACATTTTCTACTGTGTGATGCAGTGTGATCCATTTCTGGATGTAATCCCTCAGAGTCTCATTCGACTTCTGTACACAAGATTGCAGCTCTGTCAGTCCCGCCGGCCGCTTGCACGTTCCTTTGAACGTCCTGACAAACACTTGGGAGAGGTCCTCCCACGTGTAGATGCTGTTGGGTGTCAACTGATTTAGCCATGCCCTGGCTGACCCTTCCAACATGAGAGGCAGATGTTTCATGGCCACCTCGTCATTTCCGCCGCCGATCTGAACAGCCACTCGGTAGTCCTCAAGCCAAGTATCAGGCTTGGACTCACCGTTGAACTTGCTGACTCCAGTCGCCAACCTGAAGTTGGGAGGAATCACCGCGGCTCTGATGGCTCTGCTGAAACACTCTGGTCCGGAGACGTGCACTCGGCTGTTGGTGGGTACATCTCTGTCATTACCCTCTCTGTGGGCTCTGTTTCGGTCGACCAGACCTTGAACGATGATGGATCTCGCATCAAAGCCTGGTTCCTGGGGTCGACCGGAATTCTTCGCCCGCCACTGTGCTGGCGTCTGTCATCCTGTTGTCGAGGCATATATGATCCACCCCTAGGGGGAGGAGTGGGCACTCGACGTCGATCATTGCGATCGAATCGGTGATCATACTACTCATAGTTCCTGTACTGATCGTGCCGGTCGCCATGCCCTTCATGCCTCGGGGGTGATCTGGGGCTATGAGCCGACTGGACCGTATTCGCCGCCACGGATCTGCTATGAATCCTGTTCCGCGACTGCGACACAGTCAAATTCTGATCTCCTGCTGCCCGGAGCAAATCCCTGATCTGCAACAAGCCTCCGCCAGCCTCTGACTCAGAAGGCTGAATCGACTCCGCTATACGGGTTGCTGCTGCCAAATTCTGGATCGGAATGCGGTATACCTGAGTCGGAGGTTTAAAGAGTTGGTGTCGACTGGAGTTTGGAATCCGTTGCCGCACGCGCTCGTCGAGTGCCCGCTGAAGGTTCTCCAGTCGAGTGTGCTCAGCCAGGTTGGTCAAGCGCGCGTCCTCTAAGGCGCGAGCCTCAGGGGTTTCTCCAACGATCGGAGTATGAAGCGCATCCATGTTCCGGCGGCGAAGCTCTTCCCTCTGCTGCGAGTCGAGGGGCTCGGGCCGGTACTCCTCATGGTCGTGCGACGGATCGCCTCCGCCGTTGCCTCCTTCGGTGCCAGGAAAGCCGGGGGGAACGTGCGGCCCATTGACCATCAGGACCTCCGCCGCCGGATCACTGCTGTCGCATTCGGATGCAGTCTCTGCGGAGCCAGTCGACAGGTCGAACAGGCCGTAAAGAGATTCGTCGGGCTCGATTGCCGCGACTTGGGCAATGGTCGATTGGCGAGCCACTGCGTGCCTCACCCACCGCTGAAGCCTCAACCGACCAGAGCGCTTGCGCCGGCGGGAAGCTGGGAGGGAGGATGACACGAAAATCGGCCGATACTGAGTCGACGGTTGCCGCAGAAGGACGCCGCGGACGCATGCTCGAAAGTGCGTAGCTCCGCGGACTGGGAGCGCATCCACGTCGAGCGGAGCCTCCTGCAGCCAGGCAGAGTCGTCGGCGACGAATGTGAGCGCGCCGAGATGGATCTCGCGACCCTCAACCAAAACTCCACCTGAAACCATGATGATGGGAATTGAAAAGATTGCAACTTCTCCAACAAGTCGCTAAGACACCCGCCCCACGGTGGGCGCCAACTGTCGTGGTTCTAAGTCTGACAGTAGAATAGGAGGTAGGTATGGAGAGGCAAGATCCTAGCTATGGAGAAGTTGTGCACACAAGTGTTTTACGAGTTCAGGCCCTTCTCGGAGGAAGTAACAACCCTATGTCTCGAAGCCCGGAGGCGGTCGATAGGATTATATGTGTGAGAGTTACAGGGGTGCGAACCCTTCTACCAGTGAAGGGGGTGGCTTATATAGAGGACGCCAAGACCCCAGCCAGCCCACGTAGCAGAGGGTTAAAGTACATTAAGGTCTCGCGTTACTGGTAACGCCTTACATAAAGTGTCATCATGACTATTAAGACTACTTGATTACAGACCGTTTGGGTACAGAGTAGATCTTGAACTCCTGGTGGTCGAGTGAGTCTTCATGGTCGAGTGTCTTCAGGTTCGTCGAGTGTCTTCTAGTCCATCGAGTGGAGTTCCTCTTGGTCGACTGAAAGACGGCTTCTCCTAAAGGATGTCTTTAGGGAGGGTACCTTGGTCAGGTTCAATAACCCTACCCTAGATACGTGACTTCATCATCGAGTACCTGCAGCATGGGGTCGAGTTCGTCGACCTCGCCGTGGCCGCGGCAAGAACTTGGAAGATCTCGCCGCCGCAGGAAGCCCTCCATCCCCGGAACGCCACGGACCGGCTCGTCGAGGTCGGCGCCTACAGGGACGGGAACCTCGCCGAGCTCCACGAGCCCGGGCACGGAGAGGTAGGCCAATATGCTGCACGCGCTCTCCGTGCGGAAAGCGAGCGCCGGCACGCCGAGCTCCTCAGCGATATCGATGGCGAACGGCAGCAAGCCATCGACCACGACGCACGACACCGGCGGGAACCCGCCATCAGCGTGGCTTCCAGCGGAGAGCGCCGGGGCGAGCAGGGCGCGGTACGCGGCGCTGGCGCTCGGCCTCAGGGACCTGCCGATCTCGCTGAGGTGGGCGACCGAGCGCGGGTGGTCGTCGGGGAGGCCGTCCGGCACGGACGCGAAGCGGAGGCGTGGCGAAGCGGCGCGGTCGACCCGGCGGAGGTTGTGCTCCGTGTGCAGGAAGGTGACGTGCACGCCGGCGCCGAGGAGGCCCGCGGCGAAGGGGAGCATGGAGTTGATGTGGCCCTGCAGCGGCCAGGGGAACACCAGCACGTGCACCGGCGCCATGTCCGCTGGCCTGTCCTCCATCGCCTGGTACTGGTTCTTCTTACCGCTGCGCGTCAAGTGCGTTCTGCCAAATACAACTCAGCGAGCGCCGGCGGTTTTAACTTTTAAAATGCAGCGTGGTTTGAATTGCATCGATTGACAAAGTATTTAACCGGTCAGCTGTTGCTGCGCCTGCGCTTTTGTATTTCTTTTTTTGCAAGTGGGAGCATCGCGTTCCAGTTTCTGCTCTGCTTTACTTGCTGAAGGGCGAGCACGACCGGCTCATCCTTTTTCTTTTCCTTCGAATCCGCTGAAAGAGGCCGGAGCCCGGCTAAGAATTAT